AACAAGCTTTGGAAGCCTCTAAAATGTTAAAATAGGTCCTTCCTTCGAAACCCTGTCATCAGTTTATCACTGAGAGAAATAACCCTAAAAATAGTCACCCCTAAAATATTAGACAGCCATAAACAAATCAGCTCAACAGCCAATAGTTTATCTCAATAAAAATCTTACACATGATAAGCCTATTGTCAACTTCAACTAAAAACAAGGTAATGCCCTACAACACACATTGATATTTTTAAAATTAGTAAAGTCATGACTTACACATAATTTTTAAAGCTAATCTTACTACATTAAGTAAAGTTATTAAAGATGTTCATGCAACTATTTCTTTATATATTAAGATTATTTTGACATAAGTCACTTAAGATGTCATTGCTAAGACAACACCATATAAAATTCTAAATTAGATCACTGTCCTAAACAATGCTATTTACTTATTTTTACCCATGGTATTTAAGGTACTGATTCCTCATACTTAAATTAACATTAGGTTTAGTAATGACAATAACATGTTTTCATAAATGGTAAGTAAAGGGCTCTTCATCTTTCTATTTCATTTTTTTAATGGTGAGAAACAAAATATCTTCCCTATGCTTATTAAACATGTATGCTTCCTATTCTGGAAAAATTTCTGTATATCTCTCGTGTACCCCTGGTAAAGGACACTTACCTTAAATCAAAACTCTGTCTCTCGCCTCATTCCAAATTAAGATAATAATTTAGAGATAATTTCAAAATGCAAATTTTATATACAATTTATCACATTCTTCATTTTTGTAATTCTGTTAAAGTCAAAATCCAATCATACATTTGGTAAGAATTAAGTTTCTATTGACCATGGTCCCTTTCCAACTCAATAATATTGGCCTTAACCTAACTGATAAGTAACTGTTGTCAAGTTTCATGGCCAATTAAAGATAATAAATCTCTTCTTATTATTTAAATTCTTGTACTATACTATTGTCTATAACTTAAAATTAATGACACTATGACTTATGCTAGCCTTTTATTCAGTTTTAATAAATAAGAAGGGGAAAACAGGAACCTACATGTATGCACTAAATCTTATGAAATATTTCAAAAATTTTTCTTAAACTGTGATACTAAAAGTCTTACTGTTGCTGAACATGGTTCAGTAAGTCAAATCAGATTTCAAAGGATGGAATCTAAACCTGTCATCTTGGAAACAGCTGAAAAACTTGACACAGGAAGGTGAATTAAACCACAGAGTTGACGGCCATGTGAGTTTTATGAGCTGCCAGGTCAGAAAGACCAATGAAGAGCTGTGGGCCCATTCCCCAGGTGTGCCTTGAATGTGCCTTGCAATGTGGACTGGAAAATCCACCCATGCGACTGGGTTTAATTATACTGGTTATCGTGGTCAGCTACCTGTGTTATTGGCCCCATGATAAGCATGCTGGCTGTCTAAGGGTATCTTATGAAGAAAGAAACAGCATATGGGGAGCCTAGACCAGCCAGTCAATCTGGTCCTTAGAAATTACGATTATGTTTATATATCTGGACAGTTGTCAGAATAGAGAGATCATTGAAATAGAATTTTCCCATACAAGCCAGTTATTTACAAAGCGTATCCACCAATATTTTATTGCTCTAATCATTCTACAATAGAATTTGGCAACTTTCCTAAATGGATGGATTGTACAAATGTCTTGTCAGTGCAACATAAATGTCTAGAAACAGTGGATATATTTTAGACTGGTCTCCTAGAGTTGACAAAAGACAATTAGTCAAGGGTGCCACGACCCCTGGGGTTTCGTTGGTAATACTCCAACCTTCAGGGAGGGAGGTTTGGCACTTGGTTGCTGCCTCAGGTTTCCTGCGTTACTGACAGGCCTGTGCCTGACTTTGTAAGCAGGCATCCTCAGGAGGGCTCCTGCTATGGCCTGCAGGCCCGTGTTCATCTCCTTGTGCCCCAATTATTGGAAATGTGAGAATTAGCAGAAAGAATGACAAATATCTTGTAGCCTGTAAAAAATGCAACTTAACTAATTGTGTCACTAGTGATCAGAGAGGGAAAGGAACATTGATCTTTCACCAACCCTCTTTTGTCTTATTACCAGCCAATTATTTCAGAACCGCAGTGTGGTAAAGTCAGTGTTCAGGCTTTGCAACAGATGATCGCGCAGTTAAACAGACCTAAGCGAGCCCTTGGTCTCAGAACCTTTGGAGTGGCTTCTTTAATTCTATTCATTGTTTCTATGATTACAGCCTCTGTGGCTGTCTTACAACTTACAACATGGGAATTTTTTTAAAATTTGGCTCAACATACTTCCAAAGCCCTCCATAATCAGATAAATATTGATGAAAGGATTGAAACTAAGTTGAATACTCTATAAGCCACTGTAATAAATATTGGAAATGAGTGATGTCACCATATCCAGGATATTACCTCTCTAGGATCCTACCTCTCTAGGTGATCAAATACTTCAAAACTAAATGGCTTTAATCCTAAAACATGTTGAAACATTCTACATGGTACGTTATTGAAATAATATGTTTTCTATTAATTCTTCTTATGTCATGATAATAGATCATGACTTCCTCAGATCCAGGATCCCGTAAGTTTTAACCCTTTGATTGCATTTATAAATTAAGACAGGGGGAGATGTTGTGAGCCTCTGTGCAGCAGCTGGCAAGAGCCAGGTATTGGTTTCACTGCTTTTTCTCAAATTTTGTTTTATATTCTTTATTTCATTAATCTCCACTCTACCTTTTTTATTTCCTTCCTTCTGATTAGGTTTAGCTTGTTTTTCTTTTTCCAATGTCTTAGGAAGTTTAGGTTCCCAAGAGGAAGAGTTGAGATCTTCTTCAATGTAGGCATCGAGAGCTATAAATGTGCCTCTAGGTGTAGCTTTGGCTGCAACCTGTAAGTTTTGGAATGGGATACTTTCATTTCCCTTCACCTCTAAGCTTCTTCTTCTTCTTTTTTGTTCATGTGTGTGTGTGTGTGTGTGTGTGTGGGCCACCTCTAAGTATCTTCTAATTTTCCTTTTCCTTTTTGCTTGGTGTTTAGGAGTGAGAGGTTTCATTTCATTTCCATATGTTTGGGGGCTCCCTACATTTGTTCCTATTACCAATTTCAAGTTTTGTTCCATGATGGCCAGAGAACGTGGTTTCTATTATTTCTCTCCTCAGTTCATCAGGGCTTGCTTTAGGCTAAGCACAGTCTCCCAAGGAGCAATGCTAGCCATGGCTCTCTAGCCCCTGGTTTCCCATAAGGAGCCAGCTATTAATGCCACTAGCCCCCCTAGGAAGTGATGAGTTGCTTTCCTTCCTGTTTCAGGGTTTTCTTTTTGTCTTTGACTTTCAGCATTTGTTATCGCCTGTCTATCTGTGGGCCTCCTTTCATCCTTCCTAGCAGGAGTTCATTGAGCTTCTCCAGAGTGTGGGTTGTTTTTCACTAAATCTGGGAGGTTTTCCTTATTAGTTTTTCAAATCTTTTCTCTACTGTTTTTCTCTCCTTCTGGCACGTCTGTCAGGCACACGCTGGAAGGCTGTGGGTCCCGTGGTTTTCTGAGGCTCTGTTAATTTCTCTTCATTTTATCTTCTCTGTCATTTGGGTTGCATAATCTATCTTTAATTTTGAAAATCTTTCTTTTGCTTGTTTAGATCTTCTGTTGGGAGTGCGGTGGTGCACGCCTGTAATCCCAGTGGCTTGGGGCGGGGGGGGGGGGCGGCTGAGGCAGGAGAATCATAAGTTTGAGGCCAGCCTCAGCAACTTAGTGAGGCCCTAAGTAACTTAGCAAGACCCTGTCTCAAAATAAAAAATAAAAAGGCTGGAGATGTTGTACAGGGATTAAGTGTCCATGGGTTCAATCCTCAGTACCAGTACCAAAACAAAAAAAAAAAAAGAAAAGAGTGATCAAATCTGTAGTTGGGCTCCTCCATGATTAAAGAAAAAACATTTTTTTTTTTTTTGTGGTACTGGACATTGAACTCAGAGTGTGTCTATCACTGAGCTACATCCCCTTTTCATCATTATTATTATTTTGAGACAGGGTCTTGTTATATTGCCTGGGCTGGCCTCAAGCTCTCCAGCCTCCTTCTTCGGCCTCCTGGGTGGATGGGATCATGGGTGTGGGCCGCAGTGCTGGGCTCCTGTTGTACTTTTTAATTCCAGATTTCCATTTGGTTCTTTGTTTACAAATAACTCCACCCCTCCTTCCTATTTGATTGTCCTCGTACCTCCCTTTACTTCTTCAATCCAGTTCCCACTGTTTAGGAATATTTTGTAGTGGCTGTTAGGGCCTGGTGGCTTTCACAGGCAGCTGGACCCCTGTGGCCCCCACCCAGGGTTCTTCTTGTCAGATCAGGTGGGGGAGGCAGCGACCAAAGGAGGCAGATTTAAAAGGGGCGCTGAACAGGCTTTATTGAGATATCACTCCCGGGTGGAACTCGATCAGACCCACAGAGGGGACAGGGGAAGGGTCTGAGGAGAAACCCGCTTGGAAGTTCGACCGGACTGGACTTTTATGGGGCTGACAGCAGGAAGGGAAGGGCTTGGGACAGGAAAAGGTGTTTCTAGGGTCCCTTGCCCCCTTGGAGTTGGTCAGGGGAGTTGGCTAAACTCCAGGATTGGCCAGGGGGTCCTGCTGATTGACAGGCGTTAGTCAGGAGATCTGGCTGATTGACAGGCATTTCTGCTGGCATCTGATTGATGTTCTTTTCCGGTGCGGGCTGCTTTGTTCTAAGTTGCCACTAAGTGTTGGTAAAACATAACAGCAGCACCCCAGAGAAAAACCCCAGCATGGCGTCTAATGACCCTCTTTCTCCTCTTTGTTTCTTTCACTGGCGCCAATGTTCAAACCCTGCTGGTGGGAAGCCTTAGCCCCAATTAGAATTAATTTCTTGGGCCTCCGGAACTGACATATGGAAGAGCTTGCCAATAAACGGGCGACCTGTTATCTACCTCAGCCTTGCGACCTCTCCTTAGACCTATATAAACACACAGCCTTTTGTAAATAAAGGGGAAACCTCTTTGGTGATCTGTGTCGTGTGGTGCGGCGTCTTCCAGTCTTACACTAAGTCGCCACCAAGTCGGCCACCACCGACCTAACACTTCTTCCTTATTTTTCTCCTAGCTTATCATTCCGTTGTTGGAAACTAGGTATTTGAACAACGTGGGGCAGAGGCGGTGTTACTGCTGTTGACCTGTGATGAGTCCTTGCTTCCCCAGTGTTGAAGAATAACACCAGAGAAGCACACCAAGGCAAGGTCAGAGTGGAAATTAGAAGTTTATTAAAGGACAGCAGAAAAGACTTCTCCCGGAGGAAGAAGGGGACCCAAGAGGTGGAATCCGTGGAAGTGTGGTTGTTTTCCCTTTTTATAGTTCTGGTGATGGAATGTAAGGGGGAAGGATTGGGACACAGGTGGGCCAAACAAGTAATCTGGGCAGGAAGGACTTCATTAACACTTCTTTGGGATGGGCTATCTCCAAATCTGTTGGGGGCTGTTTCCTGGGCTCCATTAACATTCCTTTGGGATGAACTTTGGGCCTAGGGGCTTTTCTTCATTAACATTCCATGAGTTGTCCTGCGCTTCCGGAATCATTGTCAGCATGGCCTCCATTTTAGATTTCATTCGATATTAGACCGGATTTACCTAACTACACTGACTACCTAATTTTAAATCTGGCTTCAGCCGGTGCTGGGTGGCCCACCCCCCAGTCCTCTCCCAGCTTAGTGCTTTTCCACTTGTGGGGTGACTGGCCCGGCTGTCCAGTGCTGCCGAGGCAGCCTCCTCATGCCATATGCAGGCTCTTTTCTCTCAGCAAAGCCTGGACATAAATGGCTTCATAGTGGAACCCAAGGTCGGGCTGGAGGTGTTTTGGGGGGCCTCTTCACGACTCTTTGGCCCCATTTTTTCCAGCAACCTAGGGGCTGACGGTGCAGTCCCCATCTCCAGTGACTCTGTGGACCCAGTGTAGAGGCAGAAGGACCTCACTCGGGGTCTTGAGAATCCTAATCCCAGACACAGATGTAGATACTTTTAGATCAGTGTTGGAAGGAGGCCGTGAGGCGGGGCTTAGAGCAAACTGTTGCTCTTTACCAGGTAGTAAATATTCCTTCGGGGGAAATTCTGCTGGAGCTGAGAACAGGTGCAGGAGCCTCGGGACTGCAGAAACTGAAGGAAAGAGTGTAACACGTAGTGAAAACGTCCATGGAGGCCGAGAGTGCATGATCTGGACGGGTCTGGAGGCCTGGGCACTGCATGCTTGGCTACCTGCTCCCCAGTCCAGGTAGCAGCAGGCCCTTTCCACTGAGCCTCCGCATCCCCTGAGGAGGCTCCCTGTGCTGCTTTCACTCTAGTTTTCCTTCTGTTCCCCGGGATCTGCCTTCCACAGGACTCCCGCTATGATGGAGAGCAAGCTGGGCCTCGCGCCTGGGTCTGGAGTCCTCTGCTAGCAGGCTTCTCTCAATCTGGCTGGGAGCTGGCATCCCCCTCCGGAGATGAGCACTCAGTGCCCGGGGAAGTGGCAGCCTCCGTCTCCTCTCTTGGCCCTCCTGAGGAACTCATGACCTCCTGGGCTGGCCCCTGCATTCCCAGTCCCACTGTGGGGGCGGAGGGGCTGCCCTCGCCTGGAGCTGCCTCATCAGCAGGTGGCTGGGCAAGACCAGCAAGGCCACCCCTGCGGGAGGACGTGAGGACACGTACACAGGGAGAGTCTGTGCTCCTGGCTGGGCCACCCGAGGGGAGCTTCCACCCTTGCCTGGGGGGCAGGGAGGAGCTGGCCTTGGTGCAAATACCACAGACTCTTTGCAGTTCTCTGTGAGTTTCAGTCAACATTCTTGAGTAAATATTTCTTCGTTTGCTCTCTCCACTTAGTTCAGTTTCCAAAGAATTAAAATAGTTGTTTTTTTTTTTTTTGAAGAGAGAGAGAGAATTTTAATATTTATCTTTTTTTTTTCCAGTTCTCAGCGGATACAACATCTTTGTTTGTATGTGGTGCTGAGGATCGAACCTGGGCCGCACGCATGCTAGTCGAGCACGCTACCGCTTGAGCCACATCCCCCAGCCCAAAATAGTTGTTTTTAAAATGACTTTCAGGCTGAGTGTGGTGGAGCACCCTGTGATCCCAGCAACTCAGGAGGCTGAGGCTGGAGGATGGTGAGTTTGAGGCCAGCCTGGGAAACTTAGGGAGACTCGGCCTTGAAATACAAAGGACTGAGAGTGTGGCTCTGGGGTCGAGCACTGCCCAGAATGTGCGGGCACTGCCCAGCAAGCACTGCCCAGTGCGTGGCCCTGGGTTCTTCCCCAGGACTGGAAATACCCGCTTTGAACAGTGCCAGGCTGGTGGAGCTCCTCAGATGGGTGGAGGTGGGCGCCCTGTGATGCCTCCCTTTGGCAGGGCAGCTGCAGGGGAACCAGAGAAGGTGGACACAGGCCAGGCCTTGGGCCAGCTGCTCAGCATCACACTCTTTTGTGGCCTGCTGGTGACAGTGACGTGGGACTTGCTTCCAGTGCTCAATGCTTCGCCCACAGTGACTGATGTCAGCCCATGGAGGCCAAGGAGGGAATAATCACTGAGCTTGGCAGGTCTGGGACCTGAACCGGCAGCTGGCCTCTCACTGCCGAGCAGCAACAAGAATACTGCATTGGGCTCCCTCATCACTGGGGCAAATAACCTGGGCACCGTCCTCGAGGAGCAGCAGGATGGGATGCTGTGCCCACAAGGAAAGGTTGGGTGGGCACCAGGCTCTGAGATTCCCCTGGACACGCCTCACGCCCGCACAGGGCCCAGCTCTGCAGGACAGCGCGGGTCCCCACGGTCTTATACGGGTTCCCAACCAGCTTTGGCTGGGCCACCATGTTATATGAACTTCTTTTCTTTTTGCCAAGGAATCTTGGGACAGTCATCTCAGGTTAGGAGGGACGTACTGGTCTTTGGGCCCCATGTTGGGCTTCGCTGGGCGGGGAAAGGAGGGTTCTTTCTCCAGACGAGGGGGCTCATCAGCCCACTTCATTGAGGGCCAGCAACAGAATCTGACCCAGGATAACTTAGTGTTACCGCTGTTGACCGGTGACGAGTCTTTGCTTCCCCAATGTTGAAGAATAACACCAGAGAAGCACACCAAGGCAAGGTCAGAGTAGAAATTAGAAGTTTATTAAAGGACAGCAGAAAAGACTTCTCCCGGAGGAAGAAGGGGACCCAAGAGGTGGAATCCGTGGAAGTGCCATTGTTTCACCTTTTTATAGTTTTGGTGATGGAATGTAGGGGGGAAGGGTTGGGACACAGGTGGGCCAAACAAGTAATCTGGGCAGGAAGGACTTCATTAACACTTCTTTGGGATGGGCTATCTCCAAATCTGTTGGGGCTCTTCATTAACATTCCTTTGGGATGGACTTTGGGCCTTGGGACTTCATTATTATTCCATGAGTTGTCCTGCTTTTGTTTCCCAGAATCATTCTCAACATGGCCTCCATTTTAGATTTCACTGATATTAGAGCCGATTTACCTAACTACACTGACTACCTAACTTTAAATCTGGCTTCATTAGGACAAGGAAAGTGGCCATGGCCACTGCTGCCACTGGGTGGAGGGACCCAAGCTTCCACAGGAACCCGCAGCTTCCATGGGTGGAGAGCTGACTAGCTCCCTGGTCATGCTAGGTGTGACTGTTGGGATGAGGGAACTTCTGCCACCCCTGGTGTTCCCCACTCCAAAGCCAAACTCCCAGGAAAACAAGTCTAACTCGCTGAGCTTTGACCCCAGGCCTGCCTGATTGCTGGGGGAGGTGAGGGGAGGCCGGAGCAGGAGGCTCAGAAGACCCTCTTGGTTTAGGGAGGGAGGACACATCCCGGAGCTTGTGCACTGCAGGTTTAGATAATGCCTCACAGGAGATGATGGTGATGGTGGGAAGGATGGACAGACGTCATGTGCCCAAACGCACACTTGCAAAGGCAGGAGGTGCCACCATGGTGGTCCTTCTAGCTACAAGCTGTCGCTCTGGCAGGAATCTGGAGGGGAGTTTGCTTGCAGGAAGGTGACGGAGAGCCGGGAGCTCACTGGCAGCCTCCAGAGTGCCACCTCAGCTCACTGGCGGGTCCCGCTCTCTCCTGCCACTCACAGGGGCACGGCTGGTGATGAAGGACCCTCGAGGGGAGGCAGCTCAGCAACCCCCTCGTCTGCTGAGTCTGAATGTCTTCCTCTGGTGGGACTGACATGGATGCTGCCGTGGGGCCTCTCCTCCTCCTCCTGCCCCTTCTCAGTGGTGCTGAGTGGGTCTCTTTCTTCACCCACTGAGGACTGGGACCCCTGTTTCTCAGCCCCATGCACAGAGGGTCCATGTGTCCTGCCTCGGCCCTGAGCCTGGGGGAGGGTCCACCCCAAATCCTTTCCTGGCTCTGGGACTGCCAGTAAGTCCTGTCCAGGCTGACCCCTGCCCCAGCCAGGGATGACCTTCCGCGGCCTGGGGACAGAGCCTCAGCCCCCAGGAGCACAGGTGCCTGGCAGGCTGGGGGCTGCAGAGGGCAGGACTTCTCAACTCACTGCGGGTCCCTTTCAAGTGAGCTTAGATGTGCAGCATGCGTTCTTGAGAAGCTGTGGGTCATTTCTCATATGCCCCATGCGGACGTGAATTCCGCAGTTGCCCCTCTCCAGCTGCGGTGGATGGCCCCTGCTGAGAACCCGCTCTGGGGCAGCTGCTGCCACCTACTGGAGAGATTGCTTTGTTGCAGCTGAATGAAAAGAGTTGGTAACCCTGGAGCCTCAGGGCTTTCTGGTTCCCCAGTCAGTTGATAGGACCGGGACCAAAGGGAGACTTCTTCATTTTCAGGGTAACTGGGAAACCGTGGGCCCTCCATCTTGGGCTTCCCGAGCATGTGTCCTCTTGTTCCCTCTATTGTCCCAGAGCCAGAAACAGTCATTACCCCCTTTTGCAGACGAGGAAGATGAGATTCAGACTAATTCTCCTCCTCCTCCTGCCACTCAGCTGTCTTCCCCCACCTCTGAACACAGCACACCTTCAGCCTGTTTCGCTAACAGCACAAATGCTTCTAAAGGCCGCAGAAGTCCCAGAGTCCCCTGAGTGTGCTCCAGGACCGGGTGTGTGTGGGGGGGGGTGAGTGCAAGGGACGGCGAAACCAGGTGCCCGCATGGGAAGAGGTGTGCAGACAAGGAAGGATGGAGGTAGCTTCCACAGGCTTGCCTCTGTGCATTCAGCCACCCACAGGCTGACTCTGGGGGAAATTTCCAGAAAGTTCTAAAAAGCAAAACAAATTCTCTGTGTGTGGAGTGCTGTGCCGAAGCCACTTGCTTGAGTTGGAGCGTCCCCCTGCAGCCCTCATTTCAGCTCAGACCCCGGGCTCTCGGCAGGCCAGGAGGCCGCTCCTGGGTGGATGTGCAGCTGGGTCTGCGATGGCTGCATCTGCGATACTGCATCTTCGATGGCTGCGTCTGCCCTGCAGGCCAGACGTACCCTGTCGCAGCCCCAGGACTCAGTGAGACAGCTGCTCAGGTAGTATTCATGGGGTACAAGATGCCTCAGGTGTGGGAGGATGCCCTAGATCCCACGTGAAGACTACACCCGCCGTTTCTATTAGGAGCGTGGGCACCTGGGATCTTGGTCTTTACGGGGTGTCCTGCACCTGGCCCCCAAAGGGTATCCAGGGACAGTGGATACTCTAGTTGTGTCCTGATCCTAGTCTGGATCAGGAACTCCTGGTACTCTGAGCCTGTTAGCCCCCTCGCCCTGACCTTGGTTGCTAAGTACCTTTCTCTACCAGGCAGCTGAGCTCCTGGGGGACATGGCTGATTTTCTGCTGGGGCAGGGAAGGTAGCAGTGAGCTGGGAAGACAAGGCAGAGCTAGAGAAATCACTCAAGAGCCAGGGGGGACACTACCAAAGGACGCAGGAGCCACACTGAAGGGCTCCGAATGGTCAGATCTGAGACAGTGTGAGTAACAATAATCATTGTCACAGATTACAACCGCAGAATTAGGAGCAGAAAGGAGGGAGGGAAGCTCCTCTTTCCTTAGACTATCAGGTGACAAATGTGGGAGGCTTGACGGAAACAGAAAACCCAGCCTGCGGCCAACCTCACAGTGGTGAGTCCTCCAGCTACGTGACCTGCCAACGTGCAGGAGAGGCTCTGTAGGAATCTGCGTCTTTGTACCATTTTTGCTCTTTTGGTTTGCAGTGTTGGGGCTTGAACCCAAGGCCTTGTGTGCCAGACAGCCCAGGTTTTTGCAATGTTTTTAAAGTTCAAAATGATTTCAAGGTGAAAAGTTAGGCATGGTAGCTTCCATCTCCAGTCCCAGCTACTTGGGAGGCTGAGGCAGGGGGATGGCAAGTTCGCGGCCAGCCTGAGCTGCTTAGTGAGACATCGTCTCAAAGTACCACGTCAAGGGCTGGGGTGCGGCTCAGTGGCAGAGCACCCTGGGTCCTGTCCCCAGCACCATGCCCAGGCAAACAAAGCCTGACAAGTGGGTTGACTCCCACGGGTTTAGAGCCCTGGGACCTCAGGGCTCTTGGGCCTGCGTCCCTGCGAGGCCATGTAGGGCCATGTGGGCTTCTGCGGGCTGCACCTTCATCAGCACAGAGCAGAGGCAAGCGAGTGAGCAAGGAGCACCACCTGGGGGAGCTCCGCCATCAGAGGAGGACCGGGCACCGTCAGAGGCCTGCCCGGGGGCCATAGGGCAGCCCTCGAGTGAGGCCCACAGGGCTGGAGTGGACGTGCAATCGCGCACGTGGACGGTGCTCCAACCCAGGAGGAGGCACTGCTCCGCCTGCTCCCAGGGCTGGGGGTGACCACTAGGCCCCCTGCAGACCCGGCCAGCCAAGTGGTGAGTTGGCTGTGGCCAGACAGCTGTGCAGAGCCCATGCTCTGAAGAATGAGGACGCCGTCAGGCAAGTTTGGGGCATGAGTGCAGTGTTCCTTGGGGGTCGGCCTCCAACCTGTTCAGATTTGGTATAAATCCTCACTGAGTCTCACCACCGAACAGGTCAGTGTTCAGACCCAGTCGCAGAGGCACAGGATGGGCTGGCACTAGGAGCCCCTGCTTATAGCATATTCTCTGTGAGGGCTGCTGGTGACACCGAGGTTCCAGCTCATGGGGTTCCTGCCATCCCCTCTGGGCCAAGTCACCTTAACTCCTGGGGAGCTGCACTGCTGTGTGTGCCCAGGGGAGGAACACACACCCTTCCAGGCAAGAGTGGAAGGGAAGCTGAAATAGACAAACCCAGATGGCGTCCCACCTCCTGGGCTGGCCCTCCCGTCTCTTCGAAGTGCTGCGCAAGACATGGACAGCCCAGGACTCCCGGTCTTGCTGTGTGACCTTGAACCAGCCCTGCCCTCTCTGGGCTTTGAGAGGGATGATTTGTTCCTGGGGTCTCTGCCTGCAGCTCTTCCTGGTGGAGCCAAGGAAGCCAGGCCCATTCCTGGAGGGCTTGTGGGCCGGGGCGGGAGTGTCCACTGTCTGCACACAATCAGGGCTGACTCAGGCGAGGAAGCGCCTGTGTTAAATAAGGATCCTGGGTTCTCAGAAGGGAAGTCCAGGAGTGGCCGATGGACTGGCCGTTGATAAGGCCCGCATTGTTCTAGCCTCCCAGAGGCCACACCATGTCCTGGAGGAGAAAGCCAGGGCTGAGCTCAGGGAACCGCCCTGGGAGGTGTGGGCCCTGGCCAGGAGAGGCTGGCGGTGTAGTGGCCAGCGCAGCTGGGTGCCAGAGCTGTCTGCTCTGGCCAGCTGAGGGCCTGGCCGCTGCCTGACGGCTCCTGCTCCTGGGCCAGAGCAGGGGCCCAGGGGAGCACCCTGCAGGTCCCTCCCATCAGGGTCAAGGCTGGGCCAGGCAAGGGGCTCTCGAGGCCAGGCCCTTCAGCCTTGAGGAACAAAGGTGGACGGGAACAGGAGGAAGCCACTGTTTACTCTGCTCTCAAGAGCTGCCCTCAATGCCTCCTCCACATTGGCCAGCAGAGGACAGGCTAAAGAGGCCAGGCGCCGCACCAGAGATGCGGGCGAGGCTGTAACTGCCAATCAATGCCAGTTTAATAAGGAGCAGGAGGTTTTGGGAAAAAGGAAATAGAAGATTTATTGCTTTGTTACCAAAGGAGAAACAGGGGACTCCTGTCCCAGAAGCTGTGGCTCTCCCGACCAGGAGGGACAGGGGCTTTCAAAGGAACTTCAAGGGTCACCTTCCAGGAGGGGCCCCAAGGCACCCTGAGTGCTGCTAATTTGGGAGATGATCACTTCCCAGATGCTCCAGGGCCTCTCCTTCCAGTACTGGGTGTGTCCAAGGGCAATTCACCAGGGGAAGGAAAGATACCCATCTCCCTGATCTTGTTAGGGAGGGAGAGGGGAGAGGGGAGGGAAGAGGGGAGAGGGGAGGGAAGAGGGGAGAGGGGAGGGAAGGGGGAAGAGGGGAGGGGAGAAGGGAAGAGAGAGGGGAGAGGGGAGGGGAAAGGGGGAGGGGAGGGGAGAGAGGAGAGGGGAGGGGAGAGGGGAGGGGGGGAGAAGGGAGA